CTGTCTAGTAGCAGGTCTCAAAGGTTCAACATCAAAGCCCGCCACTGGACCCTACCATGAATCATCTGAATACAGCATACATCACTGCAACTTCTTTCAAAGTTGTTATATTTCAACCCCTGTTTCGGTCTTCAGAATGGCCACAAGCCAAGAGGACTTCCTACTAAAATGTAGCATAATAATAAAATTGCACGATTAGAATGTAAAAATCAAAGTTACTTTCAAAATAATTTCTCTTATTCCTTACCTAACAAAATGATCTTATGCCACATTTCCTACGCACCTTATTTCCATTTCTTTGTCAGTGGTTTTGCACATTATATTACAGCTACTGATGTCTTTCTTTTTATTTCCAGCTATAACAGTTTGAAATTATCTCGTTCCGAAATCAAAATTAATATTTCAGTCGAATTGTGGGACTTGCAATACATCTTCCTCCAAGTGTGTAGGTGTACACAACTTCCCATTTTCAATATAAATCAATTATATCCAAAAGCTGACTTCCATTTTTAGTAGGGTAAAGTTGCCTATTTTCGTGATATCGCCAATTCCGTGATACAATCTTCAGAGCAGTATTACGGAGCTAGGGACCATGTAGGAATGTTCAGTTTCCACTCATAAAGATGGTGCAAGATGTACCGTTTGAATGGTATGTCTTATATCACGCTGCCATGGCATGAAAAGTAACTGAACAAGACTTTCAGCAGAACCGCGTGTGATCGCCACGTTTGTTTGTGTTGTGTGCTTGCAGTTTTGAAAACTTCTAAATTAAAGAGGTAAATATATTTACATCTACTCCAAAACTATGTTGTGTTGTTCTCGAATATGCAGCGATCTGATATATATAGGATTTTTGACTCTCAGCTTGCTCTCGAGGGGTCTAGAACTTTTTCAGTTTCGCTATTTATTTTCAGTTTTGTATGTTGTGCATCATGGCATCAGAGACACAGGTCTCTGTACAAATACTATAAGCCGTATATTTGAGTTAAATATGTTTTCTCTCGTTAGTATGTGACTTTCTGACCCTTTCTCCAACAATTT